ACCAAAAAGCAGCTAGAAATCTTTCTTTAATTACATCTCTTTATGAAAGTGATCCCCTGTTGTATTAAGTCTGGGTTGGTTTTTTTTTCCTGTTTTTTTTTTTTTTCCAGTATTCCTAAACAAGCCTAAATATCCTCCCCTGTGATTGTCCAATCAATTCATCAAACTCAAGCCCAAACTTAACACTACATGTTGCCCTGCAGGCTTTTGAAATCAAGACGTATTCCTTCTGCTTAAGAAGATCATATAAATAGGCAGCTAATTGCCAGGGGATAATTACAATTCTCTAATTATTATTGTTGCTGATGGTAAGTGATGAACAAGGATAAATGTGGTGCAATGCCCTAAGATGACATCCTGAAGGGGACACAATCAGAGCAATTTATTTCAACTTTGGCTACAGCCCCATCTTGGGTCTCTGTTTTCACTCTGGCCTGTTAGCAGGTCACAGCTTTGGCTCCAACCCTGCTCAAATGGCTCAGCTGTGCCTTCAGCTTGGGCACTAATTTCAGCTGTGACTGGCTCTGGTCCTTGTTCAGGATGTTATTCTGGTCCCATTTTCACGATTGCTTCAGCTCCAGCCATTGCTCAGGCCAAGATTACAGCTCCTCTTGGGCTAAGACTTCAGTGTTTCCCCTGTCAGGCTCTGACTTTTGTTCTGGGCCCATCTTGAGGTGTGATTTTGACTCTGGGTCCTGCTCAGGTTGAAAATTTAGCTTTGGCCCAGTATTGAGCTGCTGTTTCTGCTCAACTCCATCTGGTCTGCAACTTTTCTCCTCCCAGTTCCTGGTCACAGGTTTGGCTCTGGCTGTGTATCACTCCTTGAGTTGAGCTCCAGCCCCTACTCCTTGGTCCTTTCTCTTCAGCTCCAACTTGGTATCAGGCTGTTACTTTAGCTCTGGCTCCTGGCTGGGCTGTGATTTAGTTCTGGTCCCATCTCAGACGGTGACTGCAGGTCTGACCTCTGTTCTGGCTGTGAGTAGAGATCAGGAGCCATCTTGGGCCTCTGTCATGTCTCCAGCCCCATCTTTGGCAAAGACTGCAGCTCCAGGACCCATCTTGAGCCACAGCTTTGATTCTGGGCCCACCTGGGCTCATGAGCTTGTCCCCAGCTCTGACTTGAAGCCCCCATGACTACTCTGCCTCTGCTTTGACTCTGCTCTGCCCTTCACGGTCTGTGACTTTGGGTCCTGCCTGATATTGAGCAGCAGCTTTGGCTCTGTTTCCTGCTTGGGCTGTGACTTCAGCACTGCTGCCAGATTGAGCTGTTGACCTCTGCTTTGTAGAGCTATTGGAGTGAGACTTTGTCTCCTGCCCCATCTATGGCAGCAGTTTAAGCGCTGGCTCACCTCAGGCTGCTACTGCAGCTCTGGCTCGATATTGGGCCAGGAGTTTTGCTTGGCCCCATCTTGGACTGAAATTTGGCTTCAACCCCATCTTTGGCCATAACTTTGGCTCTGGCCATTGCTCAGGAGGCTTCTTTGGGTCTGCCCAGGCTTTGGGTCTGACCCCTCCTCAGGAGGCTGCTGTGACTTGGCTGCTGTTTGGGCCACAGCTTTGGCTCTGGCCCTGGCCCTGTCTTGGTTTGTGACTTTGTCTCCAGCAACATCTTCATCTGCAACTTTGGCTCTAGATATTGCTCAGGCCACAAAATTGGCTTAATTTCCAACTTGGTCTCCCACTTTGGCTCCAGCCTGATCTCCAATTGCAATTTTGGTTCTGGATTGGTATTGGGCTGTGACTTAATCTCTGGCCAGATGCTTTGCCAAGGGCTTGATGGTCGATCACAGCTTTGGCTCTGCCCTGCTTGGGAGGCTATTACAGCTCTCATTTTGGCTGCTACTTCAGGTTCAGCCCTGTGTCAAGCTGTGACTTTGACTGGCTACCCCACCATGCGCATCTCTGCTTTGATACTCAGTTGCAACTTTGGCTTAGGTGCCTGCTTGATTCATGACTTTCGCTTCAGCCCATTTCAGGCTGCAGCTTTTGCTTCTTGGGTAGTGAATTCAGCCCTGTTCCCTGTTCAGCCTGCAGTGGCTATTTTTGAGCCACGTCTTCAGCTCCTGTCCAATGTGAGGCCATGACTTTGGATCAGTTTTTGGTTCAGGGCTTCAACTCTGGTCCCTGCTCTAGGCCCTGAGGATCACGACTTCAGCTCCAGTCCCATATTGAGCTGTGACTTTGGCTCTGGCCCCATTTCAAGGCACAAGTTTGACTCCAGCCCCGTATCAGGCTATGATTTCAGCTCCAACTCCATTCTGAGCTGTAACATCTGTGGCGGTGCCATTTTGCTGCATCTTTGGCTCTGGCTCAATCTCAGACCATGTCTGTGGCTCTGGCCTCTCTTTAGATTGCTAATTTGTCCCTTGTCATATCCTGGGGCTGTCACTTTGCCTCTAGGGGAAGTCTTGGGCCATGGCTTCAGCTCTGGGCCCATCTCTAGATGTGACCCTAGCTCCATTGCAGTTTCAGGTCATGATTTCAGCTCCAGACACATCTTGGGCCTCTGAGACAGGTCTGCCCTAATACTGGGTCACCACTTCAGCTTCAGTACCTATTTGGTCTGTGACTATGGGTAGGACTGGATAGCAGATTTTGGCTGTGCCTGTAGTCCCGTGCCGGTCTGTAGCTCCATCTCCATGGTATTTCTGAGCATGATTCCAGCTCTGGCCCAATACTTGGCTGTGACCCCAGTTCCTGCCCTGTCTTGGGCCATTACTTGCCTCCAACTCAAATTTGGCTCTGGTCCATGCTCAGGCAGTGAGAGCCACAGCAGTGTGCTCAGCAGTGTAGCCTCTGGCCCCTGTCTCTGGCCATGGCTTTGGCTCCAGCCTGTCTTGGGTTATGCATCTTTTGGCTCTGGCCAAAAGGCCAGTGGCTCTGGCCACTCCCTCAGCTGGTGACTGCTGTTTTGGCCTGATACTGGGCCATGATTTTTGTTCCAGCTCCTGTAGGGATGTTACCTTGACTCTGGGCCCAACTTCAGCTGCAATTTTGGCTCTGAACAGTGCTTGGGCTGTGATTTTGTCTCTTTTCCATCTTGAGCCACAACTTAGGCTCCAGCAAAGTAGCAAGTTGTGATGTTGGCTCTGGCTTTGCATTGGTTTGCAACTTCAGCTCCAGTACCGGTTTGGGACGTGATTTCAGATCTGACCCCTGCTTGGATTGTAACATCTACATCATTTCCATCCTGGTGCCCCAGTTTTGACACGGATTCCCTGCTTTGATCGCAGCATATACTCTGGACTCATCCTGGGCTGCCCAATGGTGGGCCCAGCCTGCTCAGGCTTGCAGCTGAGCACTGTACCAGCTTCAGGTCCAGCCCCATCGCACACTGTGACTTGGTCAACTCTCAGGCTCTAACTTTGGTTGCAAGTCCTGCTTGGGTACTAATTCAGCTTCTACTTGGACTGTGCCTTTGTTTTCAGCTTCTCTGGCAGGGACTCAGTGCCTCTGTGCCTGTGCCTAGARCAGAGGCAGACAAGGTGATGCYGTGCTGYGGCRTTACATGTGRTGCAGGGAGCAGACAGAGGTGCGAAAAGTTGCCATTCTCCTGCTGTGCACATAGTGACAGACAGTGTCTCACCAGATTTCTGAAGTTTTACTGAGGTGGAGAGACCCATGCCCGCATCCAGCCTCTAGGGCCTGAAGGGACAGCCCTTTCCCACAAGGATGCTGAGCTGCCAGGGGGAAAAAAGGCAAGCCCGGTTAGCACTGATTGGTCCTGCAGGCAATGGAAGGTGCTCCTGGGTTTCTGTCTGGGCTTTTCACCTCATCAAGACCTCTGGGCACTTGCTGGGCACTGCGTTGCTTGGGTCACTTGTGGGCTGCCTCAGGGCCTGCTCTTGTTGCTGCAGCCAAATCATCTGTTTTCCCTGGCCCTGGCACCTGCTTCCCTGCTCCTTCTCTACCACTGAAGGCACTACTGATGCTGCTCCACCTTAAGGGATACTGCTGCCACATGAGAGTGCCAAGTGTGCTGGTCTGAGCACCAGGAGACCCTGTGCTGCCCCCAGGTGCCCCTTCCTTGCCCCAGCTTGCCAGCACAGTGTGGGCACACTGCCTCCCCGAAGAGTGGTGGCCCCTAGCTTCCAGCCATGCAGACTCATGCTGACCGTCACGAACACTTAGTATCATGGCAAGAGCTATGGAATATAATTTATAAGTGAGACAAAGAATGAAAGTCAACTTTAGCCTAGCTAAAACTGCAGCATAGCTGGGTACCTCCTGGGCACCCAGTGGACTTACATTCATTCCTGGGAGGCGCAGGAAACTCCCCACATGGTCTCTGCACTTAGGAGGCAATGCCCTGATTCCATATGAGGCCAGTTTGAGACAAGGTCACCAGTACAACCAAGCATATGACTTGCTGAAGTCAAAAAGCTCTCGTCTTGAAAATTCCAAAGTCTTGAAGATTTCCCCTCTTGCTTTGTATAAATCGATGTAGGTAACTGTGTGCTTTGTAACTGACATGCTGGGTAGAGGTTGTGGCTGTCCCAGAAACTCCTCAAGCTTCTCCGTGCTGTAAAATTGACCAGAGGAGACACTTGCCAAGAGTCACTATGAACTGTTCCTGCAGCTACAGAAATGATCACACACAGAACAGCCAACTCCAAGTCAAACAGCTTTTGTACTTCGCATTAGTAGAGATGGATCACATGAACACTGGAATGGTCACAGGCCAGCTGAACAAGGGGAAGGGCAAGAAGAAGTGTAATGAACAAGTTCTAACATGTCTAAGGGATAAAACTCATCCTAGGACACCAAGGTGCCCCCTGTGCAATCCCTCCCATGTGTAAAGAAGAGATGGATCCTGTAAGTTGCAATGACAAGGTTCTCACATGTGGCCCCAGATTGAGAGTGACCTTGCAGTATTTACTGGGGCACACTCTGGGTTTTGCAGGGTACATGGGTAACACTGCCCCCAAAAGTGGAAAACCAGAACAAATGCCAGCATCAGAAGAATGTGAGCATGGGAACAGTAAGGAAAAGCACACTAAAACAGAAAAACAAAATAGCATCTATTAAGTCCAGTCCTACAAGAGTGCTTAGCAGTTTAAGAATTCACAGAAATATTTTTTTAATATTTATCAGAAACATGGCACTTTACATCTTCAGGTCACTGAATATACAATGATTATTCCTCACAACATCCCTGTGAGGTAGGCATTAGATTGCAGTTACTATTTCACATGTGGACAGAGGCAGAGGAGTATGTAATCAATCCTGCACAATTAAGTTAATGAAGTTCAACTCAAACACGGAGAGGCCCTCAGTGATTTGAATGGAAACAGGACAGTGGGGCAGTGCTGATACTTCATCAGCTATATTCTTTCACTCCAGTAATTTGCAGTGCTCGGGGTCCAACTCTGTTGCCTCCCCATATCCCCCTTCAAAAAAAAACCCACTTTTGTTAAGCAACTTAAGCATGCACAGTTGCTACCAAGTGAGATTTGTAGTAGAAATAGGAAAAACACACTTCAGTTTAGCTGACATTTGAATAAGACTGAGAGAAGTTTGCCTGCCCAGTCAAATAGAACAGTTTCAACTTTAGTCCTTTATGACATCTGAGACAGCATTTCAGCCTTCAGGTACGAATAAGTGTTTGCTTGACTTAAGAAACCTAGGGGTAAAAAAGTTTGGTAGACTGTGATCACTGTCTCAGAAATCATGCTTGTTTTAGTCAAATTGTTCTAACTGAAGTCTGATGGATTTCTGAAGCAGGATGAACTTTGGGGATTAACTCCAACTTTTCATGTGTTTAAAAAGCCCCTTAATATAGCAATTTCTCCAACAAACTTCTCTTTCAATTTTATTTTTTGTCTCAAAAATGAAATAGACCAGGTTTGTAAACTTTAACACAATAAACAAATCCTAGCGTTTAATATACAATTATTGATTAATTTCATTTAATGACTTTCTACTGCAAATCAACTTCAGGAAACAAAGTATACTTGACAGTGTGGCTACTGTGATTAATTCACCTTCCTAGAGCTTTCAGTTGAGATTTCTGAAGAGATGCACTGTCCAAGAATGATTCATAGTCTCAACCTGTAAACCACTGCAGCCTGCCTGAAGCCAAGGAAGCCACTGTAATTAATTCCTGCTGAATAGCTGATCTATTAATTCCTTCATGTGCAGTATCAGTGACAATGGTCTGCTCCAAGTTGAGAGATGATCACGATTGAAGAGGCTTGGGTCCACATACTCTAAAAACCTAAACATGTTGCCCTTCCCAACAGAGAAATCTTCATTCTCATTTAATGGAGGGCTCGGTCTAGTGGAACAATGGCTGTGCACTATAATGGAAGAAGAATAAAGTAGTGGCTTTTGGCAGAAATCACCTTCATTTTGAGGAGGAGGGTATGAGGAAAAAAGAGGGAAGAGTAACTGTTAACATTATTACCAAGGGACATGTTAACTTCTAATCTGAGATTCACTTTTGCTTCTGTAAATTGAAATTTTGTCAAAACCTCTCCCTCAGGTAACTTTAACCTTTAGATCCACTCTCCAATTGTAGTCTCCAGATAAGGGGGGAAAAGGAAAAAAAAAGCCCAGAAGTGCACTTTGCATATCCTGCCTCACAAAGGGTTAAAGTGCTAAGTTTGATATATCCAAAAATTAGGCATCTCTCCTACTCCTTTATTTTTTTAAATGAAACTTTATCTTTGGTTTCTTGTATCTTCTCTGTAATTTTATCCTTTGTTTCCTCCATCTTCTCTGTAATTTTATCTTTTGTTTCCTCCATCTTCTCCGTAATTTTATCCTTTGTTTCCTCCATCCTGTCTTGTATATATTCCTTTACTGGTGGTGGTGTGGACATGTAGCCATGCTTACGCAGATATTTAACAGTGATGGATGTTCCTCCCAAAGTCACAGTGTATCTGGCAGGAGTTGCAATCTTAAAGAAACCAGAGAACACACCACATAAATAAAACGAGACAATAACATCCACCAAAAGGTATTTTTTTATGTTCAAAATTTATTTTGAACAGTGTTAGATTCTAAAGATATCTTCAATTTATAAACCAGTTTACAGTGCATCTCCTAGAAATGCATACCTTTTACTGAAAGTATCATTTTGTCAGAGTCAGCAAGGGCATTAGACTTCCCTTAAAAAAACTAAACAACACACAAACCCTCCCTGTGCAGCTTGTAGGACAAGCATTCGGCATCACAACAGAAAGCATGTGAATACTGAGTTTCTTCCAACACTCCAGATCTCCCAGCTATAACAATATATTTAATTTATTGGTCTCTTTTAGGCACAGGAAAAATCGGAAAGAGTGGTACTTTCATATTTTGTTGGGGAAAATAACCTCTTTGAATAACAGGCAAGAGGCACATCACATTTGTAAACAAAACAAATGAGTGGCACGCACAGCCAACACTCGTTCTTGTTTGTGCATGGTCTGACATGTTTCAAGTTTCCAAAACACAGACTTTGCACATATAAAGCAATAAAAGGAAAGCCAAACCTGAGTGTAAGTAATTTATTCAAATGGACAGTGAAAATACTTGAGAGTGATGGACAACTAAGGTAGAAAGACAAAAAATCATCTAGGATTAAAATAACTGTAGTTTTATCTGGAATTCAATGAAGTGTTTAGACTTTACCCCTTTGTCCCTGATAATTACGTCAGGGATACAGAAGAATAACTTAATAACTTAATTGTCATTAAATCTCAGAGGGCTGCAATAGTTCTGGAGTAAAGAAGCTATTTTAGAAATGCAGGCAGACTCCCTGAAAGAACACAGAACACATATCAACTTGCATGGGACCATTTTTACTACAAAAATGAATGCTCAAGTAACTGTCAAAGAAAGTTAACTAATTCTTTCTGCTGTAAACAAGTAAACCCTGTTTAGTACACCAGGGAAGATTTAGTGCTTATTTACAAACTATAATTATACTTACTTTATACAATGCATATGCAGTTAGTGCATTTCCACTCTGGGAATTTTTCAGGATGTCTACTACACTGTCTGGTAAGCCAATCACCTCTAGGAATGGAACAACATTCACCCCACTATAAAAGAGAAAAACACTGGTAACTTCAATTGGAATTTGAAACCTGAACATGCATATAGAGTACTATTTTTATTCTTTAACTCTTATACACAAACGTTGTAATTTGACAACAACATGTTTTTTTTTTAGCTAAGCAATATACTTACAGCATTTATTTTTCTGGCCACAGGAAAATTAATGTTCTTTTCAGCATTTCAAAAGGTGATCCATTTATATTATCCCTGTTGTGTTGAACAGCTTCTAACTTACCTGTGTCCTAGTTTATGTTAGAAGGTAAGTAGATGTAATGGTGGTGAGACAGCTACTCAGGCTCCAGCTGTGCACATTCCATTTCTGTTTTGCCTAACATTACCTTTTTCCATTTTAAAATTTCAGACAATGTTATCCATTCACTTCTAAATATATCAAACAATGGGATGTAGCAAAAGGAAGCAACATGTTATATGGACAAGACTTCAGGGGCTTTATGCTCAGTTGTTCTACCTTGTCAATATAAAGTATCAAGAAGGGTGGAGAGAGCTCCTGTCACAATTTCTTTCTATTTGAAATCCAGGAAAGCACAAATGGAGAAAAGMAAGCTCATCTTTATATTACAGAAGAAAGCAACACACAGTTATAAAGACCTAAGCTTCCAATATTTACAGACGTTGAATTGTTAGTATCATTATTCATTTCTATCTAATATTTTAAGCATTTTTCTGAGCATGCAATCACTTTAGCATCAGGACCAGTAACAGACAGTAATTTACCAACAGTTACTAGAACYTGCAGTCTGAAGGCCCATTCCCAGAGTAGGAAATGGAGACCTAGTAAGATCTGAAAGACAGCACTAACTGTGCCATTTCAGAAACCACCACTGTTTAGTCTCATATGAGCAGTCATTCTGAAAGTTAYTTTTCCACTTCAACAGGGTGCTGCTCCTGTGGCATAACAAACTGAAGCTTTGTTATAATTAGTTTCTGGTTGAATATTYCAGTTGTTTTCATCTGCCAAATACCTGCTTTAGTAGCAGGCTTTAGAGTTTCAAGAAAAGTAATCCTCACTCAATCTGAAATGTCTGRATTTAAGCATCAACCTGAATTCATCCAAAGCAAAATATTTTTATARCTCAAGACCTTTATTCCTCTGACATGAGCTAAATTTAGAATGACATTTGGATCTATAGCTCCCAGAAAGGGCAATTATGCCAGCTGGTTAGAGTAACTAAAACAAACACTTGTGCAGTAAGGCATTCTGATGTCAGTCTCATCCTTGCCACCACAAACCGCTGTTGTTTCATGCTTTCTATTATTAAATATACAACACCAGCAGTCCAGAGATAAACATTTGCTCATATTTATCAAACTATYTGCAGATAAATAAAACCCTTTCATCTGAACTAGCAAACTAGCAGCTCATAATTGATGTAGTTTTTTTCTAACAAATGCCATTTTCCAGAGCAGCATCTACCACATGCTATGACTAAAAGAAACTAAAATTAGAATACTTAGTTTATCTCTTTTTTTTAACCACACAAATATTTAATTTCCAACTGAAAAGTATGACCTACAGTAGCAATTTTTTCAGTGGATGGCAGGAAAGACAGGAAACAGAAACAAAAAAGGAAGGGATACACATGGGTTGTGAACAGCTAAGTGAGGTAAATCCATGAAATGAAAATTCAGTTATGAGGGAGGACTGGGGATGAAGCAGGGAGGAAGTAGTAAAATGCCTTGAAGTCCAAAAGCAAAAAAAGAAAAGATCTATAAAGATCTCACCTAACCRTTCATAATCAGGATTCCAAATCCCCGTCTTTACGTTTTAAGAGGTTCCTAATAATTTCAATGCTGTTTACATCCATGCATCCTTTTGGGGAGATGAGCGTTCCTTTAAATGTTAGCAATATACCTGATACACAGCAATAGCTGCATGGTAACAGWATGTACTGACACTCTCATGAATCCTATACACTTTCAAAATTAATCTTATGCTTTAGTTAAAAATGTAGCCAYATTTCTCTTTTACACATAAAGGCACTTTTCAACATGCAGTAACAATTTATATGTCCTTTCGCTTGTGAAAGTCAGCTTCAATTCAACCACAGTACTGGGCACTGCAACAAAATACCAACTTACTTCATGGCTGCATAGTAAAAGGATCCAAACCATACAGTGGAAGTCACAAGGTGCACTGGAATCATGACTTTTCCATATTGCTTAAAAGTTTTCTTGAATCTCTGAACGAGACTAATTGATGTGTCTTGTAATGGATCAGGTTCTRAAGAATCCGAATCTGCAGGGCTCTGCTTGGGTGCATCAGTGGCCGAAGGCAAAGGACTTCTCTCTCCTGGTACTTTGTGAGAAGAGTCTGCTGGCTGTGATGAAAAAGCAGTTTTCTTTGAGGCAAAGTGAGCTGCCCCTGCATGAAGACATCGTTTAGGAGGGTCCAGTGCCAGAATCACTTTGCATCCCACATTAGACAACACAGACTGTCCTTTTAAGCACTGAAAGGCACCAGTGCGAGGGAAGAACCAACATGTCCCGTGTGCCAGCTGAGATGCAGAATGTAACAGACTCCGCTGCATTTTGAAGTGTGGATGAAGTTTCTATAGAGAAGAAACAAGAATAAACAAACTGCATTTCAATTATGTGATTTCTACTTGCTCCAGATTTTAAATGACTTTCTATTCTATTTTTAAAAGGTTTTCCTTATCTTTCTTTGCCGAAATTGTTACCTTCTAGAATTAAGGAAATAATTTTACATCTAATTTCGCCAGCATTCTTAATTAAAATAGCCACTTCACTTAACATACTCTGCTCCTCATTACTAAAATGATCACTCTAAAAACATTCTTAGGAGTTTAGTAATAACTACTGCTTTTATCTATATATCCTGGCACAGCTATTGAAAAGCTACCCTTAAACTTCACTAACAGTATCAACTGATAGCTTGAGTAATACTTTGAGCCTACACAAATGCAGCATAAATTCACCCAAGTGCAATTAAACTTAATTTTTGGTGTCAATGCATTCTTAGTTTTGGTAAAATTTATCATGTTCCTTACTATTTTGAGTAAAAGTTTATACAGTTAAAAAAAAAAACAATAGAAATAATTATTGATAATCAACCAATAGCCTAAATAGTAAGAAAACTAACTGTAACAGCCTGCCAGAAGGCAGGAAGGGGGAAAGTACTGTTGAATGTCATGCATTAAAATGAGCAAAACTRAACTAAGTTTTCCAAATATTGCAATGCAATGAATACTTAAAGACTGKGGACAACCCAGTTAACTTTGATTTTGAATACTTACCAGTTACTACTGAAAGTCTGAAATAACTATTCAGAGCTTCCCCATAAAGAAGAAARGAATTTTGTTTGGCAYGCATAGACATCAAGAAATRATTTTCCCCCAAAAAGYATGCTTTGAAATTGTGAATGAAATATTCTCTCCTTKCCTTTATTCAAYGACTGCAAGTAATAGAACATTCCWTCCCTCCAARAAGAAAAGGTGATGCTAATTAATGYAACAAATGCCATTTAAGTTAGTTACAAGTATTGTATATTCCTAATGCTTTTCCATTTTTAATTGTCAAACAATTCTTTATCCAAACTAGAAATCATTCAAATTTACTCAAAACTTCGTATCTGTTTTCCTTTCATGTGTAGCCTTAGATATATTTCAGTCAGGTGCTTTAGTAGGGAATTTATCTAGGCTGCAGAAAATTATCAATACTGCCTAACATAGGCAAAAGCTAAAAGGAAAAAAGTGAAACCATACATACCCTTTATTACTTTCTAGGTATGGTAAGGTTTGTATCTTCAAAAATCTGCAACTCTTCCACTGGTTCCCCACCTTTCAAATATACCTCTTGAACACATTGATGACTGCTGAAGTGAAAAAATGGGACACTTAGAGAAATAGCAACAACAACAAACTAATCCTATGAAGCTTTTTGGTCAGCTTGAAACCTTGTTTACTGAAGAAGTTATTGGCATAAATTCCCCTTTGAATACTGACATGCTAATTGGAGATTTTTTCTGTGTAATTTTAGAAGTTCCTCAACAGTGAATTACTGTTCTCTTCCAAGAGAGGAAAATCTCATAATCCAAATGCATCCACTGGAACATTCCTTCCTGTATATTTTCTAGGTGTTGTGCTTGAATTAATGGCAATTACWAGAATGACAATGTTTGATGTGGAGAGAAGAGGAATGGTTTCAAACTCCCTGGGAACTTCTACATTGTTTGTKAAGCACAGACACACACTTTTGTTGAACAGCTACTAACAGGAGGTACTGCATCAACAGGAAAAAAGGGAACTTGTGTCTCTATATAAGGAAGCAGTTACTCTGTCCTGTTGAGTTATGAGCTTTGTGGGAGTCAAGAAGTGCTGCTGCTGCTCATGGAGCAGCTAATCAGCTACAGGTACKGGCTCTCCATGGCTCAGATTTCTGTAAGACTTCACTGGAAGCAGCAATTGCTTGTGGTGTCTCTAAGTTTTACAAGCAGGAGAGATTCTTGCTGACTTCTGAAATCCAAATGCAATTGCTTCTCAAAACAAGAAACAGTGAAAGCACTCAGCAAAACTCAAGTGTTCAGATGGCACTCTGTCACGTGCCAACTACTTAACTGATTTATAGAAATTGTAACAACAAACTTGGAACATGACACCTGCATTCCTTGCCTATTGCCACTTACAGTTCTTTCCTGAGGGATAACAATCTCCACAGAAAACTGTTTTCCCCTCTCATTAATTGTGCACAACAYTGAGCATCTGCCCTATGCAAATTTTCTCAATATCCAGCCAGCAGACTCAGCAAAAGGCATCCGTCTATGGGAATCTGGGAGCTCTTGAGTCAGACTTCTACTGTTCACCAGTATCCTATTGAAAAATACCTGTTCCAAACTAGCTTTGCAAACTGTCACCATTCAGCATGGGGGAAACCATGCCAATGCGATTTTGAGTCACTAATGTTATTAAAAGGACACTGCATTYCAGCAGCCTTGCAAGGAGATCATTCTTTGGTACAGGACTAAGAAGCTGAATAAGCATTTCTGTGTTTTTCCATTCCGTGTAGTGGAAATACAGCAGCACTTCTCAGAGCACCATTTAYTGGTTTTACATTCCAGCACTGTCCAAACACCTCTGACCCACTGCAGTAGCTGCAGAGCACTGGGATAGGAAATGACTCCATTCTCCTGAGTGTGGGTCACCATTGTGTCCAATGCTCATGGGGCAGCACATAACACTGCTGTGATCAGTAAATGAGTTTCAAGGCCTTTGCTCACCAAGTTACGTGCACTGTGCAAGACTTAAAAATAGAACGTCACCAATGGTTTCAAAGGAGAGAAAGTTCTGGGGCTATTACAAGACTTGTTGTGCCACTTTTTGTTCCTTTATCCTCAGAAAGACTTGAAAGTCATTAATTAAAGGCCTTTTTCTCCATGATGCATGACCTGGCAGGTCAAAARGAATGTTCTCTAACCATCTACAGTAGATCCTGAAAAAGTTCTGCACTTTGTAAGCAAATAGCATAGTTCTAGCTAATATTCTACACAACCGCTTACTTTTTGTTTCACCRCTTTAAAAATGTGGAGCAGCACAAGTTTGATATATAAGGAAAGGCTACGACATAGAAGTGCTTATGTCTGAGAAAATAAAATAAAAAAGTATTTTGAAACAAGGTTAAAATTTTCCTGATGACCTTATTGTGTTTCACAGGYACTCATGTACAGCATGTACTCATGCTTTGCTTATCTAAATGAACAAAGGAGAGACCTTTTGAAGCTACATTGAGGATAACACTGTTATCCAGAAGCACTAGGATGAGGGAAGTATTATAATGGTTATAGCATGATGTAAGAAAGGCACATGAATAAAGTAACAGATCAATACAGCATTTACTTTGTAAATTCATTTATATTTATATATTTATATATTTACATATACTTTWTAAATTCATTTTAAAGAAACAAATACTTTTAAAGGGGTGATGGGTGAAGCTGCTCAGTTGTAGCACTTTAATTACTTGGCTCAACACTGCAAACAAATCTTTAATGGGACAGATAAAATACATGATAATTATGGCTGAGATCCAAGTAAATATGAACCCCTCGACAAGAGATGAATACAGAGAAATTTGTCCTTTAACAATTTGTGAAATTCCTAGTACCTGTGCACTCAACAGGCAGCAGGAAGTGCGTCAACTTACGGATTTGAGACACTATTTTCTTTTCTAGGCATAATACCTCTCAAAGAAATTACTCGAGTTCTACAAGCTATCCAATTGGCCCTGTAACTTTAGGTTGTTAAAGATTCTAAGGAAGTCAGGACAGTAACCTGAATGTTCCCCACAAYTGCACTTAGTGACTTTCAAAAGTTGCTTCTTCTTTTTTAATGTGTTTAATTTAACACCACTGCATCATGCTGCAAAGGTACRGGAAAGGACAGAAGGTAGAAGGTCCACATACCAAGGAATGGGAAACCAGTTGTCTCTAGGGTGGGGGCAGGGGAAAAGGTGTTTTAAAGTATCTTAGATTTCTATATTAGTTCCGTCTTAAAAATGACACAGAAAAAAAGAAAGTTTAAGACAAATCTAGCTGTTCTCTGCTCCAAGAATCTCATGTGATCAGTGACTGAACAGATACTAGTTACACAAACCATGAAATGCTATACRAACACTTGTGATAAGGTCTCCTCTTCAGCACTGTCACATCCCAGCTATTTAGTAGTATCTCCAGCTGACTGTAAATGGAACTGCAGAGATCTTGGCTGTTCAGGACAAACTCCTGGTTGGGATTCTTGGACATTCTTAGTTACTGAAGGCACTCTGTCTCATGGTGAGCTGTTAACAAGGCCTCTGACATAGCGGGAGTGCTCCAAAGGCCTCTTAAGTATAGATCAGTTTCTCTAACAGTGCTGGAGGTTTTGTTTAGGAAACTTCTGTACTTGTGTTATAATTCAGATCAGCTTTGGCATAAATCTGCAGGAACATCCTGGCTCTTGCATTTACTCTGCTTTCCAGGGATAATAGGGAAGTAGATACTAGACTTGCTTTTTGTTCCTGAGGACAACAAAAGTTCAGGAWTTTTTAATGTCACAGAGTTGGTCTATGTGACTACCATAAAGTCACTGGCTTTGGGTGTGTGCTAACATTCTATGCCAAAAAAACCCAGGAGATCTTTGGAAAACACAGAAGTAACAAGTCTGGCCAATATAGGTACAGCAAAAGCTGCTGTAGGTATTTGCTGTTGGAAAGAGAACATGCCAACGATGCTGTCTGATGAAACTTACACCAGGATAATTTGTATAAAAATGGTTACCATGTTATAATTAGTGTTTTTTGAGTTACCAGAGAAATTAAAATATGAGGGGGGGAGATATAAGATGGCAAAAACTTCTGTCTTAAGATAAGGCAAAAACTTTAATGTTAAGTTCTTTCGTAAAAGAGGTCAGAAAGCATCCGAGGGAACYGAGGGTATAACATATGTAGAGAGCACTGATTTATTTTCTCAGTTATATCAGAAACACTCTGGACACAATATGTAAATATGGATGACTTTAAAGCATTTTCACTGTTTAAAAAAGAACATTAATTATACCACAGGAGAGTTCCCAATGAAAATCCATGAGCTTTTTCCACTCCCAAGGCACCTTTCTATGAAAATATAGAATTAATTTACATTCTTGTCATATTTAGTGTAAAATCAAGAAAACTTTGASGCTTCTGTGTGGCAGACAGAGAAGAATTTTGAAAGGAAACAAACCAAGTTTTCAGAAATCCTTTTCAACTCATCTTTCGACTGCATAAAAAGCAAATATGGAGATTGCATSCAAGCAGCTCAGTTTAATGAATAATCCCACCATGTTGCTTGCATTTTTACTAAATATAATAAAAAACCACCGAAGCTTGTTTTCAGATATAATTGTTCTTTTAAAGAACTCATTGACAGTGTATTAAAAAAAATAAGGATTTTGCCAAGCTTATAAATCAAAACAAGAAAACTGCAACTGAACTGAAAACATATATGGGTTGCCTAAAACTCKGGGAACATATTTTGAAATCATTGTAACACTAGTGCAATACATGCAAAGCATTGTTTTTCTTAAATTCAATGTAAAATAAAAACGTAAACCTCTTGTAACTGCAAAGGGTTGGCACAGCATGGAGTCACTAACCAGAGATGGGAAAATGACAGTTCATAGGTACTTTTTATGCTTTGAGTACAAGTGAACATTCAGAATTTGTATTTCAACCTCTACTACTTTTGCAGTGTCACTCATAATGTCTCTTATTCATTCTGAACTAAGAAACTTGCTTATAATTTGAAGTTTGGGCATCATTAGCTATGTAGTTTTGTCTACCATTCAGAACTGTCTAAAAATATAATACCACATTTCACGTTAAAGAGAATAATGCAAAGTAAACCATGGTGGAATTTATTTAAAACTTGGTAAAATCATGTTAAAACAAGTGAAAGATGAAACCCTTGCAGACAAATGATCTTAAAACATAAGCCCCACCCACCTCTATACTATCTTCACTTAGTAAATGCTACGCTGTAATTTTTTAAATTGATCATATTATTACAATTCAATGCTGGTAAGTGARGATAAGCCAACAACTTTGTTACTTTTATTTTATCTAAACTACTCTTGTTCTTGCTAAAACACCCTGAGCAAAATCAAGAAAGTAAAATACACTTTCACAGGGTTTTTACACACCAAGCAATCTTCACTACTACAATCTTCTGATACTCAAATATTAAAAAGGACAACAAGAAGTAGCTTTAGGAAGAATAAAAGACCTTGTAGACATGTATAAAGTCTGAACACTGGATTCAGAAGACAAATAAAGCAGGAGAAYGTAATGCAATGCCTGTGTGTTGAATTATACATCTGGAATGTTAAACAGGAGCCTTAAGAGCTGATCTGCACAGAGTCAATATGCCCATGGTAACTCTGTTTTCCTCTGTAATGGATCTTAAGATTGCATGTAGYTGTGCATTATATAAAAATATGAATGTTCTCTCTCAAATGCTTCTAAAAGAAAGGTTCACTATCAGTTGTAGTGCTTTCTGCTCTTCRGAACTGTTTTTAATAACTGGTACTATTCGTCAACACTGTTCCTTCTTTCACAAGTTTCGTTCTGCCCTCTACCGAATTTTTATGTAAGTACAACTCATCCTAGTACTACAAAAGGTCTCTTGATTCCTTCCAACAAGTGTTGCTGGAACATCTTCTGTGGTGGTTCCAGAGCCTCTCAGATTATAGGTTTTAAAAATGCTATACAGTTTGATTTTCTTTGTCTATTTGTCACTCTATAGACACATCTGTAATAAGGTAGGGAAGTTATCCCTATTAGACTTTAACCAAGCTTAAAAATAGGCATATATATATTAAAAAGGATCAAAAAAGCGTTATGTTAATTCACAGCAKGGACTATATTCATCTCCTTCTTCACACTACCTTCTACCTTAGGCTAATGATCAAAATGACATCYTATTCTCTTTCTATTCCATGTAGTTAATAACTTTCTGAATCCTAACAGCTTCCTTTGTCCTTTTATCTCCCAAGGTATCACTAGTTCATTCCTCCCAAAACACTTGTGTTTTTCTTTCAGAGGGTTTTTAATCACAGGGCCCTTGACATGCAGGTGTGGGGTTGTGGGGGTATGTGTGTAGTGGTGTGGTTTCCAAAGCAGTGGAAAGTTTCCACTGAATAACTAAAAGGGGCTGGGACGGGAGGCCATAAGCAAGCCTCAGATCTGCAGTTTCCTAGATATGGGTCTGAATTCCCGCAGAAAAAAAGACTATCCACAACTGAACTGATGAGGGGTTAGATGCTAAAATACACAGATCAGCTTTCTACACTTCACCAAAACATTGTTTGAGAATCTAATAGGATCTTCCCTCTCAATAGCACACTGAATTTTATTTGACAAATTCCTCACCCCTTTCAGCTTTGACCTCAAGACCGGGCATCTYGAGAGTTCTGACTCTATACTTTAACACATGCTAAAATGCATGAGAAACATGATTATTAGGTCTATGTTTAGAGTTCAGATATTTCTAGTACTGTAAAGTTCAGAGCTGCAGTGCACATCTCTTTTCACAAACACAGCCATGAATAATAGTCAAARGGTTGCTGCCAAAAACTGAACTCTTGCTTGAGACTTCCTGCTACTCACAACTTGGATTCTAGTAGCCAAGCTCATTTTTAATTAATAATTTTTCTGGTCACTCGGCACTTCCCTGATATAGACAATTTGAATGATAATAATTAAACAGCTTCTGAATTATAGTATTTATTCAGGAAAAATGTAATGAAACAGTTTAAGGCACACTGCAAATACAGTGACTTTTACCAAAATGAATGGTGCTAACCCAAATAAAGGTCAGCCTTTTTGCCCAGATTTACTGGGTTTGCACAGCAAGGTCCTGGTGGAGGGTGGGCTACAGGGGTGGTTTCTTTGAGAAGCTGCCAGAAGCTTCCCCCAATATTTAACAGAGCCAATGCCAACTGGCTCCAAGAAAGACTCACCACTGGCCAACATCGAGCCCATAATGGCAGTAATGCCTCCGGAATAACATGGTAAAGAAGGAAAAAAAGCTGTTGCACAGATGTAATTGGGGCCAGGGAAGAGAGGAGTGAGAATATGTGAGAGGAACAGCCCTTCAGACACCAAGGTGAGTGAAGGAGGGGCAGGAGCTGCTTCAGGTACCAGGGCTGAGGTAACCCAGATTTTAAAATGGGGTGCTGACCATGGTGAGGCAGCTGTGCCCCTGCAGCCCAGAGGTCCACGGAGGAACAGAGATCCACCTGCAGCCTGTGGAGGACCTCAGACTGGAGCAGGAGGGKGCTGGAGAGAGGATTGTGGGAAGCCCAGACTAGAGAAGGTCCTGTACAGACCTTGGGCCAGAGGAGTCCATGCTGGAGCAGGCTGTTCCTGAAGGACTGCACTCAGTGGAAAAGGTCCCACACTGGAGCAGCTCATGAAGAACTGCAGCTCATGGGAATGATTCATGTTGCAGAAGTTTGTGGAAGACTGTCTCCCATGGGAGGGACCCCATGCTGCAGCAGGAGAAGGAGCTCTCCCCCTGTGGAGGAAGCAGCGGCAGAGACAATGTGTGATGAACTGACTGTAACCCCTATTCCGTGTCCACTGAGGGGAAAAGTAGGTAAAGAACTGAGAGCAAAGTTAAGCCTGGTAAGGAGGGAGAAGTGTGAGGAAGATGTTTTTAAGATTTGTTTTRCCACTCATTTTTGTACACTTATTTGATTGGTAACTAATTCAATTAATTTCCCCACACTGAGTCTGTTTTGCCCATGATGGCAATCAGTGACATCTCTCCCTGCCCTTACCTCAACTCAGGAGCCTTTCATTGGATTTTCTCTCCCCTGACCAGCAGTGGAGGGGAAGRACAGAGCACTTTTGGTGGGCACCTGACATCCAGCCAAACTACCACAACCAAACCACAGAGTAAGAGCTTATGTATTCAAATACTTTATCTTGACTAATTATAAAAGGCATTTGTTAGGAATATGCTTAAACTTGGATCACAGAATCAGCTTTGTAGAGCCTTCTGCCTCACCTTTCACAGCGACTATCAAACCTGCTTCCTTTCTAGCCTTGCTTGATAAATGCCATTTTTGCCACCTTGGATCTTTACAGGTCTTCTCTCATTGTCTGTTTCTTCTCTCCATAACCCAACAGCAATCAACAGTGCCGTCTGTAATAATAAGTGCACATTATATTATGTAATAATTTTATAAAACCCTCAAAACAAAAACCTTGAAGTCCCAAGTCTTTTACTCATCAAGTCCACCCAAAATGCTTGTAAGATGTCAAAAAAAAACATTCTCAAGGAAGAACTCTGAAGCCTTACAATCAGAAACAAAGCAGGAATAAAAGTAAACCAGCGTGAAACTGAAAAAAACATCCCAGCTTCCAYAAGAACAGAATTCAAAGTGGAAGCACTGGGTTCAAGATTTTTTTCTTTTATTCTCTCACCACATTTATTTCACATTTTCAAACACTGAAAAGCTGTCATTTTTCCCAGCAAAAAATACAGAACGTTCATCTTTCAGCAGAATTACTGTTGGCAGACATTCACTTTCAGTATAAATCTTTTCTAAATATTCAAAGTAAGTGTTGAATTCTCTGTTGTGAATTCAAATTTCTCCATATGGGGAAATATGTGCAGTATCAATCAGACTATCTTGAAAAATTATGTGTGAAGAGGCTGATCATAACATTTACAGAACGCACACACACACACTCAAAACCACACTCTTCATCTAATTTTCAGTAAATGCTATTCCCAACATCTCTRCAAATGAATGAGAAAAGCTCTTATGAAAGAAATATTATTTTTATTAAGGTCTTGAGACCTGAGTGTCTAAACCTTCTTGCCCACTATTCAATTTACTGCCTCACACAGCTTCTTTTGCATGATGTCTTTTGCAGACGACATGCGAACAACAAAATCAAAGCATCTACAAGTGTCTTAAAGTGCAGTGGATTCAGAGCTGTGTCTTTACACCGGAAGGTGCTCTGATGAGACTTCAGTATTAGGATCTTAATAACATCACAGTCTGAAGCAGCAGATTTACAACACTGCTGTATTGAGACTTGAAAGGAATCCTGTGACTGCAACACTGCAACCTTTGGAAGCACATGGCATTTTGCCAGATGTCACCAACAAGTCCCAAGGCTTATGGTTCAACAAAGAAACAGCCCTCATCAGAAAGTACTATCCTAKGGCCTGAGACAGCAGGCAGCAAAAGATGCCATCTAATTTTAACATCAGCAAAGACAGTTTTTAATCCACAAAATACCAAGAGTGAATAGTTAACTGCCTGGCACATGCTGGGGGTAAGCACCACCACTGCACTTAAAAGGTAAGTGCTGTCATGTTTTACTTAAATCTTTCATCAGCCACTTTTGGAAGAGACTCACTGAACTCTCATGAAGCCACTCATGTGTTTTTATTTACAACCAACAAAATTCATCCCTTGGAAAAAATGTTGCTGATTTCTGTAATTTGTTCATGAGCACCTGCATTAACCACCATTTCCTTCAACCATCCCCCTTCTCAAGGATAAACCAGGCAAGTTCTAAAGAGCTTGCAGCAGGGGATCATCTGCTGCAATATTCTACAAAGCCATGAAACACAGCCACAACTTCTTTTGTTTACACAAAAACTGTTACACAGGGTCAAGGTCGGTTCCTCTGATGAGATAAAACAGTAGATCCAGAGAATCAAAATTTATAGCCCAACTAAGTGTCACTTCAATGTTCTGAAATGCCCAGAGTTTTACCATTCCAATGAATTTGTTTAGAAAAGGCAGTGTCATGTCTGGAAAAATAACAAAATATGTGGCTTGTTAGAAGAGGATGAGGGGAAAACTGAGGGATGGAAGGCACTGGGCTACAAAGGATTGGAAATTTAGAGGAAGCACAAAGTTCCAACCAGAGTGTAYCCTGTTGTATAACCTCAATGTCTAAAAGAAGATGTGGTTTCTGTCCTTAACAGACTAAATGTCCTACATTTTGGTGGCACACCACTCTGGCCTGCCAGCAACTATTTAAATCATAATTTTCTGGAYAGCTTGATATGATACATTCTTGACTTAATATGGACAAAATGTGTTGGACTTAACATACCTGTACTAGTACCTTCAATACTCAACTAAATTTAGGAAAGTAGACTCACAATAGATCAAAAGGATTTTTTAACCGAATAATAACATTTTACTCTTACTGGAATTTTATGATTGCAGCAGGGACATGAAGAATAATCTATTTTTTAGAAGTGTCATGATTCAAGACTTAAAAATTAAGTAAAAGTTCTGTAACTTGAGCAGCTCTTTTGTTGTTGTTGCTGTCATACCACATAATCCATTCATCTCAAGGCAAAACATCTACTAGGGGTACATAATAGYCTTTAAGTATCTCTGACCCCGAGTTTGATCCTTGATCTAAAGTGATGGAAACTAGGCAGTTACCTATCAGAACATTAAGGTAAAATCCTTATGAACTATTCTGATGACACCCAGCTGACCAGGAAGATTTCAATCAGGTTTTGAGCCCAGATCTTGGTCCCTTCAGTGATTTTATTCCATTCCTAATAYCGAAATATTAATGATGATGAATTTCCTTCAGCATCTAATTTTCAATATGTTCATCTTCAACTATCTGGATTTAACACCAAGAAGAACTATGTTGGATTGTTTTTCCAATCTGCAGGACTAAACTGTCTACAAGGAATTTGCTGGATTCAACTAGCAGTTTTAAGTTTTTAAAAATCAGTGTTGTTCCTGCTCTTGTTGTTGAATTTCTCATGCCCTTGTCTTCAAGACCAGACAAAACTCCCTTCAGAGCCAGAAATGTGCCAGCATGCAAACTGAGGTCTCTCCCCCCTATCTGAGATTAGGAGACAGCAACAACTCTGTCTTGCAAAAACAGACTTCAGTTTCTAAGTGATACCTATGAGGAGATACATAGAGCTGGGTCAGTTTACCTGGACAAAAGATCAGCTACAGCAGGAGAATTACATGGAATCTTCTAAAAGCCAAAGCAGACCAAACCTTTTCTTATAGCTGCTATAGCCTGTGAAGCAGACCTGTAGTCACACTAGACAAATCTTCAACTTCTTATATTCCTTACATRCTACTTAACAGTCTGAATTTACCTATTCAGTTTTTGCCATGTGCAAGCCACCTGATATCCACCTACCCAAATCATCAAATGATTCTTTTTTTCATTCCCTGATCGAAGAGCCTCTTAGGCAGTAAGTGCAATTCAGCAATGCTGCCACAGAGGTCAGTCATACCCTTTCTACTTCAAACACCCCCTAAACAGAAAAGGAGATAAACACCTGCTGTTACCCCCACAGGAGATGGATGATAGGGACATACTATCCTACGTGCATGCAATTCCCACACTGAAGCAGCTGCAAGTCATATAAGCACAGACAGCAAAACACGTTCCAAATGTGGAACTCACTCCCTATCTCTTCCCAAAGCAGCAAAACTTTGGCAAATTGTGTTACTTGTAACAGCAATGAAATCTTGGGATTAACYAAACTGAGGAACACTTTCAGTTTAACAACTGGCTTTGGTAAGGAATTCTAGTGCACTTCATGTACTACTGTCCAAAAGTAATGTTTTCTCTTTTGGAACAGTTTGTAGAGGGCATTTCAGAAATGGACATTTGTGAGGCTGAACTATAGTTTGTAATAAATGACACAGAGCCATGTTTCACTTAACATCCTTAACAAAAATTATCACGACTTCTCTGACTCCCTTGATATACTTAAYTAACTTAACTAGCAGATTACTAATGTGAAACATAGACAGTAAAACATTTGTACAGCCACTTCAAGCATTTTTAAAAGTGATGAAAAAGACATAGGCAGGTCTTGGGAGAGACCCCCCCTCTAAGGGGCATAAGCCATCCGCGGTCCTTCAGTGGTAACACAGAACCATGGAACATGCTGACTTGGAAGGGATCCATCAGGATCATGGAGTCCAACCCCTGGTCCTGCACAGGACACCCCAAGAATTGCACCTTGTGATTGAGAGTATTGCCAAACGCTTCTTGAACTCTATCAGCCTTGGGGCTATGACCASTTCCCTRRGGAGYCTGTTCCAGTACCCAACCACCCTCTGGGTGAAGAACCTTTTCCTAACATTCAGCCTAAACTTCCTTGGACGCAGCTTCATGCCGCTCCCTTGGGTCTTGTCACTGTGCACCAGAGAGCCGGGATCGGCGCTGCCCTTCGTGAGGAAGTCACAGCCTGAGATCCCATCCTCAAATCCCTTCCTCTCCATGGAGATGCTGCAGCAACAGCCCACCACGGAACACCCAGGCCCATCCACTTCATCGTCCTACCAAGAAACAAATCTCCCACCCCACTTTCTTGTGCCGCGGCCGACATCCTTCAACGTCGGACGAGACGAACTCGGCAAAGGGAAAGCAGCCGGGAGGAAGGTGCGGGCAGCCCAATTCCCCACAGACCGGGGCTGCGGGGGATCCGGCCCAATCCCACCGCTCGCTCCCCACCCGCTCCCGGCCCCGCTCCCGCCCCCGCCGCGCGGGTACCTCGTGCCTGGCCCGCACCGCTCCTTAGGGGCCCTGCGCGCCCCGGGCACCCGCCGATGTCACCAACGGCCGCTCCGGTCACACCCGCTCCGGTCACACCCGCCCCGCTGCCCCCGGCCCGCCCCGCGCAACGTGCGGCGGAGCCCGTCCCCACCATCACCTTCAGGCCCGGCCGTGCCCTCCAACTGCGCAGGCGCGAGCCCCGCCCCCTTCCCGCACRGCACCCTGGGACCGGTAGTCCTTTTCCCCAGCGCGGAGTTCGCCGCTTTTCACAGAACCAAGCGACCTTTGAGACCACCCAGTCCAACCATCCGTCCTGCACTACCTCTGTGACTCCTAAACCAAATCACCCAGCGCCAGATCCAGACGTCTCTTAAAYACCTCCAGGGAGACTGAATCCACCACCTCCCTGGGTGGATTCAGCCTGACCATCTCACCACCTCYCTGGAAAACCTATTCCAACGCCTGACCATCCTAACAGGTAAAAAGTTTTTCTAGTATCTAATCTGACTCTCCCCCGTCTCAGGGTAAGGCTATTTCCTCCGGTCCTCTCACTGCGGGCACGGTAGGAGACTGGTCCCAGCTCACTACAGCCTCCTGTCAGGCAGTTGCAGAGAGCGATGAGGTCCCCCCGAGCCTCCTCTCCTGCAGGCTAAACAATCCCCATTCCCTCAGCCATCCCTCACAACATTTGTTTCCCTCACAAGTCACCGCGCGCGTTTCCCGCTGCCTCCCTTTCCTTTGGGTCCCTCCCCAGGATGTGACGGCCGCCGGTGGCGGTTCGTCAGTTCCGCAAACAGGGATGGCGGAGCGCTGAGCCGGGTGAGTGCCGGGCCGGGGCACTGCTGGGTTCTCCTCTCTCCGTCCGGGCGGCGGCGGAGGGGCCCGGAGTCCTCGGCCTCGTCGGACGGGGGAACGCAGAGAAGCCACGGGCACCGCCGCCCCGTTAACGGGAGAGAAGGCGCTGAGGCCTCCCGGCCGCGGCAAGGGGCGAGGGAGGGAAGGAGGGAAGGAGGGGGAGGGCGCGTCCTGAGGRCGGCGGGCCCGTTCCCCCCTCGCTCCAGGCATTTTGCACTTCCCGGCTGAAGGAGCTGCTGCTCCCTCTGGGCACTTGGTTGCCATCGGTAGTTGCGAGAGTCGGATCGTTTCACAGTTYAGGCCTTCAAAAAATAGCAGGGTGAAGATAAGGAAGAGTGTGGTAAGTTGTTCTTTGAGGCCATTTGTTTTGAGGAAAGCTTCTCTGGTGTCTCTGTGTAGTGGCCCACTTAGTGGATGTGTTCTGGCTCTTACTGGGAGGTGAGCCTGATACGGTGGACTTGGATATGATTTTTGAATGGTTTTTTTGTTGGTTTTTTTTTTTTTTGGCTGATTTAGGCCATTGTTTCAGAAAAGGAGTTGCCAAATTGCTCTCTCATGTGTCTTATTAAAAAGTAGGTGCCTTGCTTYCCAATGGTGATGTAAAGAAGGCTGGGATGTGCTGGAGACCAAGTGAGCTTTGTGCAGTGGTTTGCAGTCCTGCAGGCTGTGTGGAGATTTGTGGAGAAGTGGAAATGCAAGTGCAGCTGGATATTCCACATATTAGTTAAGCTTGGAGCATAGTGGATATTCTTGGCAAACTGGAAAKCCACAGCTGAAAAGAAAATTTGCTCATAAAAACTCATCTTGATCTTTTATTTGAAAACATCCATTTCAAAGCATATCAGTTTAAATTATGAATTTACTAACTTGAGAGAACCTCTGTTTCTAAACATAAAGTGATTTGTACGTTTTCTCTTATGGGGAGGAAAAGAGGGAGATTACAGTCTAAAAAACAATAAATGTGTGGCAGTTGAATCAATAAAGATATGTAGGGACAAATCTAAAATGAAAAATGATAACTATCTTAATTCGGTCTTATTTAATGAGTAATTTCAAGTTCCATAGATTTTATTGTGCTGTCTTTATTATATAACTGGTTAAACTTGGAATCTGTATGTTTAGGGTGAAAYGCTAGTGTTATGTTACAAAATCATGATCATAACTGTGACTAAATGAAATTCAACACTGAAAATTGTTGGTGGTTTGTTTCTTTCCCCTCTGTAGATTTCCATTCTGATCAGAGGACCATTCAAAATGGCTGATATAACTAAGGCAGAAGAACAACAAGTAGAGAAGAGTTTGGATAAAGAAGTGGAGAAAACACCTAATACTTTGGATGAAGAAGTGGAGAAAACACCTCATACTTCAGAGTCAGATTCAGGTCTCGGGTGTGAAGGCAATAGCTCCGCTTCAGGTACAGAGCAGTCTACTGAAAATGAAAAACAAGTTGATAGTGGTGATCAGGATGGCAGAGCAAAGAGGAAGAATTTAGATTCTGAAGATGAACCTTCTAAGAAAGTAGTGAGTATCATTTATTTTGAGCCATTTTCAAATCCTTGTTTCAATGCCTCTGCTCAAAAAAAGATTGAAAATATTTATGCTATATGTGAGCCAGTACAAAACACCAAGTATTGAAATGTTTCCTAGGGAAGTAACGGGTGCACAAATGATGTTGGCTTCAGAGAGGAAAAACAGGGYTGATAATTAGAATGATAATCTCAGCACATACTTAGTCTAATTCTAAGGCTGTTCCATCATCCACGTGGTAGAAATTTAGTAGTGTAGTGTAGGGTTTACGGGCATTAGTCTAAGTCCCATACCTTGAACTCAGATCTCATATATGTTGTTGTGTGTTAGCATAGTTACCTGTGCTTGGGAAGTTTTTCYATAAAGTAATTTTGTCCTTTCATTTCTCCAGTAAGGTATAGTATGGTTTACAAAACTCTACAGACTGCATCCTCTGTGTTATAATTTCAGTATGATTTGTTGGCAAAGGGAAGTAGTGAAAGATTTATGGGGTTTTTAAATATTTTAAGACTACAAAAGTAGCAGAAAATATATGTCCTTTTATATGTCCACCTGGGAGGGTGAAAAGGATAATGCTTTACATGATGTTGTCCTTTATTGTCTAATTTATCCTTTTGGGCTATTATGTATAATTTGAAAATGTGTGACCTAATGCTTTGTTTCTCTGCCTAGAATTTTCCCAGGATGTCAATTTAGTGCTTAGCAGTTTGGCAAAATAAAGGACGCCCTTTGTTGTGGCAGAAACATTTTTAACCCTTTCATCTTTTTAATTAGATGGGATAAGGCTTAAATGAACCAGAACCACATGGGGTTTGTGTAGCCTAAGGGTGTAGAGAGGTGATTGAACGTAGCTACCAGCATTTAGATGTTGCTGATGGCTGTTTGCAGCTGAGATGTTAATGGTTTGTATGAGTATGACCCCCACACCCTCTGAGTCAGCTGTTCTAGCTTCTGTCAACTTCAGTGGGCATTCAKGGAGCCATCTGTGCTTACTCTGAAAAAAAATAGAACTGGTCTAAATATTTGTTAGTATCAGTCAGCCCAGTGTGGCAATAAACAGATAATGGCATTATGGAGATTTCAGACAAGAAAGTCAGTGTTCATTCTGAASGTTACCAAAAGTATATGAAACACTGAAGAATTCACATGTTATTTTAGTCAGCCAGACCTTCTCTTTCCTTGAGGAGCTGCAGTTTGAATAGTAAGATGYTGGGATATTGACTTYTGTWATGAGCTGTTGGGAATGCTTTTAATGGCTTAATTCAGGTTTGTATTGTTATTTCAAATGCTTTTGTACCTCCCAGAATTGATGTTGGTTGTCTSTGTTCTGTTACTTTGGATTTTATTWRTAATTTATTTTCACATCATGTATATAGTTGAAGATTATTGTCAAGTTGAAGAGATGTTGGGAGAATAATATCTGGATGTAGACTGTGTTACATGGGACAGAAATGTCTTAYAATATTTAAAGCTAAGGCTGGACAGAAATCTCTTGGAGTTATTTTGAATTAAGGCTCAATCAGAGACATTTCTACAGCTAACTTGTGAGCATTACTTGGRATTTGTTGTCAAATGATTCTTCTCATTCCTTTACCATGGTCTGTTTAAAGCTCTGGCAGTGGGGTCATCCGCTTGGGTGTTTATGTGACATCAGTTGGCATTTTGGTTAAAGTGGCAGTTTATACAMTTCTGTCAGATGAAAACACTGAATTTCTGAAACAAGCTCTTTGAAGAGGCTTAAAGTTCCTTGGGAAGGAACATCCTCTTCTTCWGTCCCAGGCTTAAGAGGAATGAAACATGTTCTTTGAGAGTGGTGAGAGCATTAGAGAACTGAAAGGTAAGTTTTTTTGTGAAGAAAAGATGCTGGGCAATATCCATTCTCCAGCAATTGCTTGAATCAACTAAAAAGGGGATTAAATTTGTGAGTGTTGCTGTGCTAATTGAAATACTGACACCAGTACCAGGACAGATAGGGGAAATATCTTTATAATGATGGTGCTTTTCGTAGTATTGCTTGTTTGCTTTCTTAAATCCTTGAAGTGTATGTCTTTTGATTAATTGAAAAAGTCGTAACAAGAATTCACTGCTTGAGCCTGTTCCTTTCATTGTTTCTGCAGCATGTGATTGGCCACGGGCAAGCWGTAGCTGCACATTATAATGAACTTCAAGAAGTTGGATTGGAAAAACGTAGCCAGTCTCGCATATTCTACCTCCGAAACTTTAATAATTGGACAAAGAGTGTCCTCATTGGTAAGATTYCTTAATTGAATCCTTAGTGTGATGAAAATATAACTCATTTTTGTATCAAAATCTAATTTCTCCTGTTTTCTGATGTTAAGAATGACACTTTGTCTCATAATACCTAGTAAGTTTTCCAGTTGCAATAAAATGTCTATTTTTAATTTGAATCTCTGTGATACTACTTTGTATTGTTGGAGTGCCTAGTTGTATGCTTAAGTTTTAAAAATCAGCTGACTTGAAAAATTCGTACTGGAAACTGTTCTTCGTGACTTTTTTAAAGAGAAAAGTACAGCTGTAAATAAGAAAGAATCTTAGGTGTTCTTAGGTTTAAACAAGAGCAGCTCAATCTATCTCAATTATTTCTTAGGCATTTTCCCAAAGGAATCTGTGCTCAGATCCTGATTAAGCAATTCTGCAGGAGGCTTATAAATACTTTCTGTATTAGCCATAGTCAATGATTTAAAAGATGGAAAGCTAAAGGAGGTAGTTCTTTAAGGAGCAGCAGGTTTTTATTAAAAGGCAAAGTCTTGTGTTCCACAAATTAAATCCAAAGTGAGGAAGCAAAATCATCAGATGTCTGCCAACAAAGAAAAGAATCAACAGCACAGCACCACAGGTTCATGAAGAGGGATCTGTGCCAGGAGATGTTGGCACCATTTGTCTTATCATGCTGCTTTTTGTTGTGTTGTATCAGAGCATTTAGAAGCAATATTTAGATTTCTATAAAGCTGTTCCTGAAGGCTGTGTTGAAGCCTTTCTGTCATAAAGAATTTCAGCAATGTGGCTTTATAGCAGTTGTATCAAAACATATTTCATGTCTCCTACTGTGAAGAAAAGTTGCTAGTATGCTGAAATGTTTTACATAATATGCCAACATCAGTCAGAGCAGAGAGAATGTAGACAGGGTGGAGAGAGAGAAAAAAAAAGTAACTGGTGAATGTAGGGTAGAAAGACAGCAAATGAGTAGCTACTATTATTGCAAGGCCTGGGGGAGTGAGTGGAAAACATTATGCGTTTTTGTAATGTGACCTGGAGGAGATGTTGTGGCTGGTGCATCTAATTGGCTTTTACTCTTCTGCAAAAGGCTTTCCCATACTTTCAAATAACGTCTACCTTCATTATAATGGTAATGAAAGGAAACCCTGTTTCCTTCCTCATGTACAGGGTGGTTGKTTAGCCATGTGCAGTTTTACCTTAGCCAGGGAAACAGTTCAGAGCTTCAGTCAACTTACATGCAGAGCACATTAAGTACAGAAAATAATAATCTTCTCCATAGYTTTAAAAGTTTGGGGTTATTTTCATCATTTTAAAAAAATAGATTGAAGTCTGAACACTAAGAAGATTTAGAGGCAAACTAAAGTCTGAGTTGTTTTAAAATTCTCAAAACCTTTTTGTTCTTTAGGCTTTTATGTACAATACAAGTGAAATGCAGAGATGTTTATATATGCTTGCTTTTTTAAAATTTTTCTAGGTGAATTTATAGACCGGGTACGACAGAAAAAGAGTGATATAACTGTTTTGGATCTAGGATGTGGCAAAGGTGGTGACTTGCTGAAATGGAAGAAAGGCAGAATTAAAAAACTCGTCTGTACTGGTAAGAAGACATGATAACTTTTTCTGGAAAGTACATCAGTTCTTTATGGGAAACTAAGTACATCTACAGTATTTTTTTTTTATCAAAGAATGTAATGAACACCTTTTGTGCAATAGGTTTTATTTTGTCTTTTAACCTGAAGATATTATTTGATTGCCAGCAAAAAGTATAAGAATCATTGGTTTTCTGTGTATTTAGCTTTCAGTTCAGCTCCTAARTAAAAACTGGTATCACTAAAGAAAAACGCCATTGCCACAGATTGCCTTAGGCAAAAGTGGCCCTGGGGAAAAGAATGACGTTTTGTATTTTATGTCTTTTCTAAAACAGCTAGGATCTTGTAGTATTTTTGATTATTCTGAAAACGCGTACAGAAGAGTTGCATTTAAAAGACTGAATAAAACCCCTGATGCTGTGACAAAAAATGGTCTCAGGTGTTATAATTGACTAAAGATTTTCAGACTTAGTAAGGGGAAGAGCTGAAAGCTGATTAAAAAAAAATCTTGTTCAAATAATTGGCTTAGAATTTGGGAGGGAGATTCTATCTTGCCTTTTTTCAAAAAGTATTTTAAGAATAAGCAGTGGAAGTATTGCTTAATTCCAAATTTAATTAGATACTAAAATTCCCTAAAATTCTTTCAGTGGGAAATATTTTAGATACTGTACGTATTACTTTTCTTTCTTGCATTGTTAATGGGTAGTATTCAAATATAGTTAATTCATTTACTTCCAAAGTTCCTCGTAAATTTATTGCATAATGTCCGAAACGTGATGAGAGAAGGAAGCAGTCTTAGAGTTTAAAAAAATTCCYATGTTGTAACATATCAGAAATAATTGCATTTCAACATGTTTTGTATTTTTAAGACTATTAAGAGTCACAGGGAGCTGAGCTGTTTTAATGTAAATGAAGACCAGTTTTTTAACTTGCCATATTGTACCATCTGTGTTCCAGTAATCATTCCAGTTTTCTTGTCTGGGGAGCAGTTTACACACTTTTAAAAACTTAAATATTTTTATTTTTATTATCTTTCCTTATGTAGACATTGCTGACATTTCTGTGCAACAATGCAAGCACCGCTATGAAGAAATGAAATCTCGATGTCGGTATAATGAACATATTTTTGATGCAGAATTCATACAAGCAGATAGTACCAAGGTACACTTCTTATGCTGTATAATATTTTTGAGATTTAACATTCTTTTGTTAAGCAAGTKTAGGAGGTTGATAGAAGTGCTGTAATATTTTGGGTAAATGTATTTTTAAGGTCAGATTATTGTACTGCCAGAATCATTATCTGTAGGGGTTACTGGAAGGTACTGGTTAAGATGTGCTTAGATGCATTTTGCTGCTGTTGTTTACTGCAACATTCCTGAAGCCTGAATGTGTTTTCCAGGTAATAAATCTCGTACTTTCAGTGTCTTTTACTTGACAAGGGAAATGGAATGACTTTTTACCGTTGGAGTTATGTGAGACAGTATGGGATGTTGGAAACTATCTTGGCAAATCCTGGAACAAATGAGAGACCTTTTCTAATTTGACTTGTGTGCTTTACTTACAATTTTTTCTTTCTAGTGGCATTTTGTTTACTATAATATAAGCCTTTAAAACTTGGGAGTTAGACCAGGTTTCTTGGACTGTCTGGAGGCAGTGGTGAATGCGTGGCTGAGGCTTAGGAAACAGTCTTGTAACCAGAGCTGCTTTTGCTTCTTAGAAGTGCAGGCTGAGAGTGCCCAGCTGGAGGCTGAGAGACAGAACTTACCTGGTTGCAGTGTGTCTGTGGAAAAGCTGAACCTGTTCTCAGCCTTGCATGAGGGGTTGTTTGCTTGAATTCTTGGTTGCCTTTCCTTCTTCTGAGAAATAGTCTGTTGCAGGTTTATGTCATCTCTCTTGACTCAAGTGTACAGTCGGGCTTGCCAGGAAAGAAAGGGATATTTTCATGTTGCTATTACATCTCACTCTTAGAAGTATATGCTTTTTCTGTTGCATGCTTTCTTCTGTTTGTCCTTGCACACAAAAGTTAATTTTCCTGGCTTTGGATCTCTGTCATGAATGTTGTCTATCTTGCAAAATCTGATTCTCACAGTTTGTTCAATTCTCTCCACCTCTGTTTCTCACTTTCCTGTGTCTTTCTCTATACCTGCTAAGTACAGGGTCAAAGCAAGTTTTAACCTGACAAAATTCAAGGACTCCGAGTTCTTCAGATTTTAGTTACTTGGTCTGGAATGGGGAGGAGTACATTGGTGATAAACATGGGTGAGAATACAAATWCAACTCATTGGGCCGGGCAAACTACCATATTTAAAACAATCCCTTCTCCTCTCAAGTACATGTTTAATGGTTCAATTCTCATTACTTAGAGATTTAGTAAACTGATAAAAGTATTTTTTTTCCAGCTAAATGGTGGCCAGTTGTAACCCCCCAACATTATTCTGGAAACCATAAGTTAACTAACCTTGGATTTTGGTCTTTCAGGTGTAGCAATGTTACTTGATGACATGAAAAGAATTTGAGGACATTATGACTTTGAAATGTTTGTGTATTCTTGTTGTTTCCAAATGTTGTGTTTGGTTTTCTATGTAGGAGAGAACTTTTTCTTACTTTCTTACCTTTTTCATCTTGTCTTTGTTTATGTTGTTGAGGAACGGACCTGAAACGAGAAACTTCAGAGAATTCAAAGTGTTATGGAAATAGTGCATTTGTTAGAAGATATAAGTGAATCACGTTTGTTTCTGTAGCTTTTGTTTCTTTTTTATGTTTGCAGGATCTCTTGTCTTCCAAGTACAGTGATCCARATATGCGCTTTGACATTTGCAGCTGTCAATTTGTTTACCACTATTCATTTGAGACGTATGAGCAGGCTGACATGATGCTTAAAAATGCTTGTGGGAACCTCTCTCCTGGAGGTTATTTCATTGGCACAACTCCAAATAGCTTTGAACTTGTGTAAGTACTTTTAATGTTTTATTAGTCTTCCAAAATACTTGTTAAGTGATTGTTAGGTATTGTTAAGTGATAGTTGTTCTTGCAGTACTCCAATATATTTGTACAAACAAAAGCAAGTTTTTTGCAACACTTTTGGTTTATAGTAAAAAAAAAAAATCTCATTTATGAACTTGACTCAAACAGGTAAATCAATATTAGCCCTCGTCTCTTCTCCCATGGCTCTTCTAGTATAGATTATAGGTCTTCATATACTTCAATTTAAATTCACAATTTAAATAGTGGCAAAAGGGCCACAGCCTTGGGAAAAACTGGTTTTGTGGTGCATGTGTCTGGGCTAAAGGTTCATCTTTTAGGTCCATTTAATCCTTGGTATGTTGTACAGGAATGATAAACTGTTAAAACCCAGCATGCTGCTTCATTTCATTGTTTCATTAYCTTTTTAGATAAGGGAGGTGGGAAACTAGAGAGGTCACTGAAAACTCTAATACTGGGAGAAATACTTTCAGGCCTCTATGTGTGTTTTCTCTGTGTTAAATACTGGTTAATAAATGTTTGTTTATGTCTCATTTTATAGAAAGAGGCTTGAAGCTTCAGAAACAAATTCCTTTGGGAATGACGTATACAACGTAAAATTTGAAAAGAAGGGAGACTATCCCTTATTTGGCTGCAAGTATGATTTTCACTTGGAAGAAGTGGTTGATGTCCCTGAGTTTTTGGTTTACTTTCCATTGTTGGAAGAGTAAGTTAAGTTTTGAATTCATTATACAGTAAAAGCTGTGAAAGATATTAAGCATTTGTTTTGTCTATGTGTCATTGCTTAATACTTGCAGAAAATTATATTTTGGCTTTATTATATTTTTCAGTTCTTAATTTTTTGCTGTTTCAAATGGAGAAGTTTCTTGCATTTCCATCCACAGCTGTAATCTCCCCRTTGCACTCATTTGATGGTGGTTTTGGTCAGAAGCTGTGACCATGTCTCACAAGAGTACATCTGTATCTGATATGCTGGATCTGTTAGCAAGTTTTTAGTACTGTCAGCTTTCTTTTCTTTAATCATAACTTTTTGATGGGTTTCTTTCTAATTTGTTTTAGTTTTCAGCAGGCTTTCTTGTGTATCTTCTTCATTATAGTGCCTCTTTCCTTGGCTTTTCCAAGTTTCTTTAGATGTTGATAGGATTTTTGCTATATCTAGTTTTTTTTCTTCCTCTAAATGATCTTCATCTRTAAGCATACATTTTACTGTTATCTCTATGTGACCTCAGATTTGTCGTTCCCAGCTGTATCCTGAGGTACAGACAAATATTTCCCAACGTACTGTTTTTTTCCCTGCTATTCAAGTTCAGTATGGTTGAACAGTATTAAGCTTTCCCTTCAAGCCTGTTCAAGAACTTCATTTGTAATTATCTATGAAAAGTAATGGCTCTGTCACTGACAGCTGTAGCTTCAGTGTTCCATATCCACAGTGGCTACATATAATTGAGATTTAAGGCACTAAATACAATAGAAAGAAGTTCTCTATTTATAATATCTGCTATGACAGATACTGCAAGGAAAAGGGTGTAGTCTGTCTGGAAGTTCACATGGAACTTATGTGTTTTGGGAGAAGGGACATTTTTTTATTAAAATGTTTGCAAGTTACTTCCAGGTAGGTTTTTGTTGTCCTAATTTAAAAAAAAAACAATTACAGTTTGTGGTGTTACTGCAACTTTTTTCATCTAAATGTCTTTACTAAGGAAAAAAAAATCTAAAAAAAGTGTAATCCAAGTGAATACCAGAAGATGTCACTGCGGTTTATAATTGTTCCTTTGAACATAAAGCTATGATGATTTTGGGGCTTCCCTAATTAAGCTTATTATTTTTACAGGATGGCAAAGAAGCATGGTATGAAATTAGTCTACAAAATGACATTTCGGGAATTCTATGAAGAAAAAATCAAGAAYGATGAGCATAAAATGCTCTTAAGGAGAATGCAGGCCTTGGAGGTAAATTTGAATTTGACTTATTTGATTTTAATAGCATTTTGCCATTTGTTAATTATGTGTGCAATAATTGAAATTCCCACTGTGAACATTTTGCAGTAAATTAAGGGCTACCAGTAGAAAATATTTAGTTTCTGGGSCTGACAGTGTGACTCTGTTGTGTTAACCTTGACTGACTGCCAGACACCCTTCTTGTTCCCTCTTCCCAACAGGATGGGGGGAAAAAAGAAAAAAACTTGTGGGTCAAGGTGAAATCAAGGAGATCGCTTAGCAATTACTGTCACAGACAAAACAGTGAACTTGGAGAAGGTTAATTTGATTTATTGTAAAAAAAACAAAAAAACCCCATAGTAGAACGATGAGGAACACAGACAAATATAAAAACACCTTTGTCCCACCCACTGCTTGTACCCAGGCTCAGCTTCACTCGTTCACTGACTTTTCCACCTCCTCTCCCTGCCTTGCAATGCAGGAAAATGGGGGTTATGGTCAGTCTGATAACAGTTTGTCTCTGCCTCTCCTTCCTTTTCACACTCTTCCCTTGGTCCAGCATGGGTCCTTGCAATGGGATATAGTCCTCAGAAACCAATCTGGCATACATTCTCTCTGTGGGGTACAGTCCTTCAGCAGCAGACTACTCAGCATGAGCTGGTTCCTTATGGGAGTGCAGCTACTGCTGKAAAATCTGCTTTGATTGGGTTCCCTGCCATGGAGCAAAACGATGCTATAAAGGAGAGACCAAAATTTAAAATCCTCTTCAGAATTACTGACCTCTGTTCTGGACTGTTTTGCAACAAACCCTTTACTGACGTGGTTAATGTATCTCACTAGTCAATGTTTTTTTTTTTCTTTCTATGTTCTCCAGCCATATTCTACCTCTGGTGATTCCAGGCTTGTTTCTGATAAACCTGATGATTATGAGCATGCAAAAGAGTTTATCAAAGATGGCAAAGCAAAGTTACCACTGGTAAGTTCCTTCATACTTCACTAGAGCAAATGGTGTCCTAAAATTSAGGCTCTGATCTTTTAAACTCTGGTGCCTTCTTCATTTCAAMTGCAGTGAAATTTGTATGATTGTCTCATTGCATGTGGAAAGTTGTAGAGCTGCAGGGCTGAGGGGCTTACATAGTCTATATCCCATACTAGAAACAATCAAATTTATTTAATTTGGTGGCTATTAAGAAATCTGTAATAATGTAGAAGGGAAAGGATATTTTTTCTGTCTTACTGGACAGCTGTTCTTTTTAACTGTTCTTAATTTGAAGAATCTTCCTATGTTTCGGGGTCTTCACACTACTGATTTAAAGTTTTAGCTCCAATCCTTTGATGGGAGAGTTCAAAACTTTCTTCATAACACTATACATGTGAATTAATTCTTTTCATTATCATCAGTACAGCATRAGGGTGATCCACTTCAAGTTTTTCTTTTGTTTTTTTAAATCATTGATTTATCTACTGTTCGCGTTCTGAATTCTTGAAGATGTAGTCCTTTTACTGTMTATATAAAAATCCTACATCAAGAGGGAAAAGAAACCTCCTCTCCACTTTGAAATTAAAAAAAAAAAAATAGAATGAAAAGTACTTGTTTTAAGAAATAGGCTTAAGAACATGATAATGACCAAGTCAGACCAAGGATCTCTATTGTCAAGTGCTGTTTTAAAAGATGAACCATTTGGTCAGGTTTGATCAGTGGGTAGCATATGAATTAATTCATGGCCCCCCTGAGGACTTCTTGGAAGGGGCTGGAGTGGCAGAGCAAAAAAATTAGCTTCTTGTTCCCTTATGTTTCTTAATTGGTGGGTAAATGGCAGCAACTTTTTACTTGTGGACTTGGCCTGCTTTTATTTGATCAGCTGAGCTGGGAGTTTCCTAGACTGGAAGGCAGACTGTTTTTCCAGAATGRGTGAGTCAGGTTGAGAGTTAATTTCTTGCAAATAGTTACACTGATGTGTGCTAATGGTCTGAGGCATGTTCTGCACCAGCAGATTGTCAGCCCATTTTCCTGTACTTATTTAGGTGTGTTCCATTATCTGGGGCCTTCCAACTCCCTACTATTATAGTTAGCAGAGTTACAAGTATCTGTGGTCTACAATGATGCTCTTCTTGCCCCTAAATAGCCAATCAGTGTGGGGGTTAGAAGTTGGTCACTGAAAGGCTGATTATCCTGAGTTAACAGTGCTTTATTGTTTCCTTTTTTGGTTGAAACTGGTGTTTTTTGTCTCCTTCTAGGGAACATTGAGTAAATCTGAGTGGGAAGCAACAAGTAAGTAATGGTTTTGAAAAGAGTATTTACTGAATTACTGCTTTGAAAAGTATGTAAAATGRCCTGTTAGATGTGTAAGAAAATCCAAATTTTAAATATGGTAAGAAGTTGTTACTTGTGTGATTCAGATGTGTCTCTATAGATTATGTAGTGTGCACATCTCAAGAAATTTGGAGAGAAAKGTGTAAGTGCAGCCAACTTGCATTTTTGCAGGCCATTTTGCTGATTGTTTTAGTAGTTTAAAAACAAACAAAAATGCTGTTTACTTCACATGTCAGAAGAATCTTCACTCTGCTTTCTTTAAAWTATTACCTAATTTTTGARCGTATGAATTATAAGRTAGACATCAATTCCAGCAATGTAGRAGTATTATCAGAATTATCTATTTGAGAGGGGCWTTTTATATCTTTAAAAGTCCAACGATTACTTTGTTTCCTAAGTAGTTTCTTTTTCCAGAAAGGTTTGGAGTACAGACCTTCTGATAAGCACAGGAACTTTTCATTGTTTCTGAGGAATATCTGATGGGCTTATCTTGGAAGATTTGCAAGTAGCTATGGCACCTCATTCATTAACATAAAAGTTGAATTCAAGTGGAAATCCATAAATGTTTAATTAGACCCATGATCTTGCCCTAACTGGTTTAACATATCTGTCTGGAGCTTAGGAGCATCTGACAAAGATAGCATTGATGATGTGCCAACTACGAGTTTTCCAAGGGTGCTAGTGTAGACTGCATGGGTATCTATTAATAGAATCATACTGTTCTGGACTTGAAAAAATGCTGTAATTTCTTCTTAGTCTGTCAAAATTTAAAAGAGCGAAATTGATAATATGTGTCACAAATTCATTCACTTTTTAATTGAAAATGTAGTTAATAATTTCAACCCTGATTGTCCATTACWGCATGTATGAAGGGGCCTTTAAACTTAACCTGCATATGATTTTTYATGTGCTAGTGAATGTTCATTTTGTATAGAATGGCACATTTATTTATGAATTTCATTCATATTTCTGACCTCTACTGTGAAAACATGTAAAATATGCTGGAGTGGARTGTAGAGTTACTCACTGGAAAACAGTAAGATCTTTTGTAATTTCAGTAATTTGCYAACTGGTTGTTTGGTTATAATATCAACCTGGTTACATTTTGAAAACTTAATTGAGTCAGCAAGAGAGCTGGAACTTCAAAAACTTCTGTTTTCTCTTTTAGGTATTTACTTGGTGTTTGCATTTGAGAAGCAACTGTGAAACTTCRCATACTGGATGCAGCTAGAAGAGATCATGTCCATGTGCAAACTGGAATGRTCAGAAATCCATTGTGGCAACTATTTTTTTATTTTTTATTTTTTAATTATCAGATGTGTGCAGGACACTACCAAAAACTAGAGCAAGCTCGTGATTCAGAGTTACATTGCCTGTCTGTGACAGATGGACTTGCGTGTGTATATTTAAGAAAGATTCTGAACCAATCTTTTTAAGCATTTGTAAGCAATCTGCATGCTCTCAAAACCTGTGTTTGAACTGACACAACTTYATGTTAGAAACAAATGTTTTGTTAGTAGAAGTATGTTTGTGATTGCAAGCCTGATCCTGCACTTCCTGAAGTTGATGGAAGAATGGCTGTCGACTTTGATAATGCAGAATGAGGGCCTAAATACTGTTCTGCAGAACTCACTTAATTAATTATTAGATCTATTCAGACATAGAGGGTATGTCTACATTGCATGCAGAGCAAAAAATACCTGAGTCAGTTTGAGAACCTCTGTGCTATGCTCAAGCCTGCAGTGTAAATCTACCTTAGTGGTCTTCATACCATAATTTACATGGTAAAATCTCACAGTATTCTTGTTTTTCCTGCTTGCTGATATGTAGTGTCACTTCATGATGCTTTCCAGATTAAATGAGTTTGTTCTGTACAAAACTGCTCTGAAAGTACTCAATTTCTAATGTTTTAAATCTCTGCTTTGTTTTCCAAGTATGGTTATACGGTAATCAGTAACAGCTGCTTCACATAGATTACTGAACATTTTTTATTGTATTAAAGACTATCCTGACTTTTCAATAGTTTTAGTGTTTCTTGAAACTTATTAGACAGATCTTAGGATGCCTTTCTTTCTCATTTCATAAAATTCCAAATTGGCTCAGTGACAGGATGAGCTGTTGGTGGTGATGGGGACCTCAATGCAGTCCTTAAGGCTAAAAAAATGGTCACGTCATGGATCGTGAGCCAAAAGGGGAGCCTGTGTAACATTTGAGGATACCAGCAGTTCCCTTGGGAAGGGAAGGCTGTGCATATCCATACACTCCCTTGTACCTATGGGCAACAATCCCCAAATTAGAGCCGAATATTTTGGGAATGTAATCAAATGATACCAGTAGGCAGTACTGTGCCTARCTATCATCATAACTGCTTGTTAGTATCTTAGAGCTGGCTTAGGGATTTCTGGGAGTGTKTGCTCAACTTTCCACGTGCTTATAGCTACCCATTACTGAGAAGGCCTGAATACTTCATGTTTTTTCTCTCCATTCTTGGGCTAACTGTAGCTAATGGCTGCTGTTGGCTAATAGAGTTTACGTAGAGATTAAATKATGATGGTACATGAGTATTTTGAAAAGTTGTAGTAAACCTAGAAGAGAACATTTCTGTTAAATGTTCAAATTATGAGTTTGTAGTTGTATTGCTTTCCCCCTGTAATTAGGTCATACTCTTTCCTCCATGACTCCCATTGTTTTTTATTGTCTAGAACACCTGTAACCTTCACCGAYGCAGTGGAATCTGTCAGTTCTGCTGCTGAAATTAAGAAAACAAGATATTCTTATCTTCTAGAATTAGTACTCATGAAACTAGCTAAAAATGATGACACTTTAGAAATGCTGAAATGTTTCTTTTAAATTTGTGTGCATCAAAGCTARTTTTGTTAGATTTCTTGGAAATATGTATTTCATTTCATTTGGAAATACATTGTTATGCTATTTTTGGAAGAAATAAATATAATAAAAAGAGGGAAATACGGTGCAGTGTCTTTCCTCTTTTAAGTTAATCTTTACATACCAAACACATAATCACATATTGGTTGAGTTTGGAAGGGGCCTCTGGACATCATTTGGTCCAACCCCCATCCCTGCCCAAGCATTTTCACCCAGGGCTGGTTGCCCAGGATCATGTCCAGACAGCTTTTTGAACAGCTCCAATGGTGGGGACTCCACAGCCTTGTTGCCTTATGGCTGATTTTAAAATTATGGGGCAAAAACAGTTAAGGGATAGAAGGGCTTTACCTCGGTATTTTAGTAGGTGGAAAATGCACCCTGTGTGTGACATGTATACAATTGTATAGACTTCACAAATTATTTTATCTATCTAGAATTCCCCAATAAGAAACTTAACAAAGTAATGTCCCCCCATTCTAAAGAATCCCCCCAGATGAGGCTAGAGSTCAGTTTACACAATATGTTTTAGAGAGAAGGCTTCAACCAAGGTTGATGCCTTGAGTTTGGGATAACATTGGGCTCACCAGCTTCCTACTGAGGATGTTTGGTCTTCTGCCTAGCAGAACTCCAAAACTAAGTTAGAGTACCAGGCTACAAGAATTACAAGCACATAGGCTAAATGTACAGAAAATCTAAAAGGGTATATAAAATATATAAAAGGCTATATAAAAAGGCAAAAAATCATCAGGCATCAGCCTCATTGGGCAGCCTGTGCCTGTGCTTGGTCACTCTTACAGTAGAAATTTCCTGATGTTCAGAGGGAACCTCCTGTTTCAGTGCGTATCCATTGCCTCTGGCCCTGTTGCTGGGCACACAGAAAACCTGGTCCCATCTTTGAATGCTCCCTTTGGGTATTTGTATGCACTGAGCATTCCCCKTGTTCTGTCACCACACACCCTTGTAGAAAAGTCCTTCTCCATGTTCCTTGTAGGCTCCCTTTGGGTACTGGAAGGCTGCTCTAAGGTCACACCGAAGCCTGTTTTCCAGGCTGAACAATCCCGATTCTCTCAGACTTTCCTCATGTGAGAGCTGCTCCACCCTGTGATGATCTTTGTGGCCTCCTCTGGACTTACTCCTACAGCTCAGTATCTTTCCTGTTCTGGGACCCCAGAGCTGATGCAGCCCTGCAGGTGGGATTTCACCAGAGCCGAGCAGAAGGATAGAATCCTCACYCTGCTGGTCACACTGTTTTGGACGCAGCCCAGGACACRGTTRGCTTTCTGGGCTGCAAGCACACATTGACAGCTCATGTCCAGCCCCTCATCTGGCAGAATCCCCGAGTCCTTGGCAGGGCTGCTCTTGKTCTGTTCATCCCTCAGTCTGTATTGACACTGGGGGTTGTCCTGACCCAGGTGCAGGATCTTGCACTGGGTCTTGAACTTCAGGAGATTCTCATGGGTCCACTTCTCAAGCTTGTCCAGGTTTGTCTGGATGGCATCCCAYCCTTCAGGTGTGTGGCAAATCTTACAYATTCTCCTGTTACAACACTTGAATAGTTTAATTTACATAATGAACATCTCAGTCCTTTGACTATGAGTGTTTGCCTTTTGAGTCATAGTCTATTTAATGAAGCACTCTCTTGGATAATATCTATTTTTATGAAAAAGTAATTATATGTTGTATACTAATTGCTAAACTGTTTTTAAAGACTTTGAAAACCGTTAATTTCRGGAGCATTAGGCTGGAGAGCAACAAGTTAAAAACATCTGCARGCTAATGAAGGGGCTAATAATAAATCCACTCTTGCAATCCACTTATTGCCAAAGTAATAATGCTTCTGTAGGAAACAGGATCTAATATTAAGCAAGAGTAACAGTAACCTTGTAATCTCAGTCCCTGRTGCTCCTTGTATGCCACAAATTAGAACCTCTGTTTCTATGGAAGTGAGGAAATGGACATCTATATTACATGTGAATGCAAATAAGCATCCTGATTTTTCAGAAGTTTGAAGTACAAAAATCAAGTCACTTAAGTGCCAAAAGACATGAAGACAAGTGTTTGAGGTTGAAATTGAAAGAAAAAAAGTCTGAAATCTTGTGCTGATGACATTATGAATGCTGTGTACCAAACCAACAACTGTCACTATAGTTTATTTTTTTGCAGCTTCATTTTACATGGATATACTAGTACTAGTGAAATGGCTTTCCCTTAACCTCCCTKACAGCATATCCCATTGTAAATTTGYGTACTGCCTTGAATGTTTCTGTTACTTAGAGAACAGGTCAGGCAGAACAAARTTAATTTCATCAATTAGGTTTTGCTAAGTTAAAGGTTTTCCAATGTCATCTTAATGCAAGCTGTCATCCTTTCTTCATTTCATTAAAGCTGGTTCTCAGCATTGCTACCTTTTTATTTGGGTTAATGTGTCTCCCAGCAACTGAGGTCCATTTGCAGGATAAGGGTTTGAACATTCAAGGTCTGACTGATCTGTGCTGTTCATGATGAAGGCTGAGGAAAGGATATATTTTTGGTTCATATGCCACATTATTTCAATGGACAGTTTCATAAGGGTTGGGCTCTGCATCTCACAGTGTTGTGTGAATTCACTGAAGCTGTGTTTCTGACAGTCTGCTTTAATCACTAACTGTGATTAAACTGAAATTTTGCTTAGCAATGGCAGGAACATCACCATTTAATGGGATCATGGGATTTTAAGTAACTATGTTCATATTACTGAAGTAACACTTTCTCACTTGGCTCTTCTTAACTTTTGTCTTTTTTATAGTCTCAGCATAAAACAACTCAGCTGGTGACTTACTAGCTCCCAAGTAACAGCTTCCTTCTCAGTTTGCACTCACTTCTAACTGGGCAGTGATGGAATTGTTCTGACTTAAGACACAAGACTAGTCTTTGTAGGTTTCAAATTACAGAAAACTGCAAGAAACAAYAAACATAAAGAAAGCCTTGGTTTATATATATAAAATACAGCTTTTAAGTCTCTAAATTTATAGTCCAAGGAAAMTTCTCTGTGGAGCAGTAATTTTCTGGTAGCAGAATTATTCTGAATTCTTTGGTTCAAGTAGTCCTTTTCTTTCTTTAGTTCACTTCGACACCTGCAGTGAACATCTCTGCAACAGACAGCTGGAACTGAAGCCTGCTTCTTTATGAAAGAGCTGTGAGCTGAACAAATAACAATAATTACAGGGTTGGAAATTGTTGGCTTCCTTGTATAATTTATAAAAGATTTAATTAGGTATTTCTTCAGCTGGAAGCAAAATCACTGCTTCCTCTWAACAACAGCCTCATGGAAGAAATGGGGTGCTGTATGAGTGTGTAGGGCACCCTGCACTCAGTATAATGGTGTATGGTTGGATCCCGTAGGATCCAGGCTGGCTGCTGAAAGTCTGAGCCCACGGGAGGCTTCTAAGCAAAACCACAGAACCSCAACTGTGATAATCAAGGGGCTGATTACACAGTTTGTCTAATCCCCTTTTAAGGTAAAGTTTATAAAAAATATAGCACAAATTGAGAAGATGGTTGWAACAGGCCCCAAACACATACCTCTCAATGATGAAATTAAATATGCTTTTTTTGCTTGGGGGTTGTATCACTAGCTTGACGTGTGGTAGCACTTGCATGTTTGGTGCTGTACAGACAGGTAGAAGAATGGATTATCCTCTGAAGACCARTTTTTAAATCAGAAGATGTTCTTTTTATGTTGCACTACATGGACGGACATTGCCTTCACTAGCACTATGATTTTGTGCCTGAATAAAGATGAATTTATGTTTTATTTTAATTCTGTAAGAATATTTTGGCTGTTTAATAAATACGTAGGTTGGTTCATGTTAGAAGGGACCAATAAATGTAATCTAGTCCAACTCCCCTGTTGTGGGCAGGAAAAACTTCCACTTAACCAGGTTGCTCAGAGCCCCATCCAGCCAGGTCTTGAGTACTCCCAGAGATCCACAACTACTCTGGACAACCTTTTCCAGCCTCACCATCCTCACAGTAAAAAATTTCTTCCTCATACCTATTTCAAATCTACCCTCTTTTAGGTTGAAACCTTTATACCTTGTCCTTTCACTATAGGCCTTGATAAAAAACTCATTCCACCTATTTATTACCCCTCTTTGAGTACTGAAAGACCTAATAATGTCTCCCTGGAGCCTTYTCCAGGCTAAAGGAYTTCAAGCAAATCAACAGTATTTTATCGAATGTTTGTGGTGAGTTCATCCTGACGGGTGCCAGGTGGCCACCAAAGCCTCTCTATTGTTTTCCTCCTCAGCTGGGTGGGGGAGAGAAAACACAGTGAAGGACTTGTGAGTCAAGAAAAGAGCAGGGAGAGATCAGTCACCATCATGGCAAAACCAGATTTGATTTGAGGAACTTAATTGAATTTATTACCAATGAAATCAATCAGATAATGAGAAAAMTTTAATCTTTCAATAGCTTCCCCCCATGTCTTCTTTCTTCCTGGGCTCAACATCACACCTGAATACTTCCTCCTCTCAAGCAGTACAGGAAGAAGGAGAATTGGAATATGTGGAAAYACATATTGTAAAATTACTTTTGCTTTATTAAATTATACTGCTGATGAAGATGGGATTGTGTTTTGCCAATCCCTAGCAACATATTAGAAAAAAAGGCATAAAAGCAAGTTTTCTGTTGTTCCTTTTTCAGAGGTCTCTGTCTACTCCTGAGATAAATGGGAATGAAATGTGCAATTTGGCCACTGACTTCACTATTTTCATATGCCAAGCAAAATTGTGCTCCTTTTTTATAAGGAGTAGGGAAGAGAGTGATGAATGTCCCGCTGGTAGAAGTCCATTAATTCTGCAGCRTTGTAACTTGTCGTTCTTGCGGCATTGTTTAGTAATCTCAAGACAAAATGGAGTTTTATAGCAATGCCACTTTTAAAAGACTGTCTAAAATGTTGCTTTCTTAATTGACTTTCTGTTGTGGTTTAGACTGTGCTGAAAGCCAAAAGCACTGCACCCATGACRTTCTCTMCCCTCCCCCCACCGAAGAGGAAGAAGGGAGAGCAAAAGCCCAATTAACACAAAAATTTATGGCTT